CAAGCAGAGGGCTGGGTGTGTGTGAGGGGGGTATAAGGCTCAGGGCAGAGGGCTGGGTGTGTGTGAGGGGGCTTAGGGCAGGGGCCTGGGGTGTGTGCCATAGGTTGCCGACCCATCTTAGAGCTTTGTAATCTTGATAAACTGAAAATGCTGCTCTGGTTTTGCTACAGGGCATTTTCCAAGTCATCTGCAATTTTTCTCATGACAACAAAGCTAGTCCCATCCTGAACTAAATTTTGCTGTAGAGAGTATAGGCAAATTGATCTCTTCTGGTCTATTTGGATTGGTCACAAGAGATGGTTAACTATGACACTGAAATCCCAATTGGCAGATGGGGAGTATCTATGTAAACCCTTTTGGGCTTCCTTCATGATATTTGTATTAATGCTAACCTTAAGCATTTGAGAATCAGAAGTAAGGTCCCAAGAAATCACAAGATTTAAAAAAAAAAATCCCTTCTGGTTTCTGAGCTTTTAGGGTGCACGCAGGTCATGTCTTCTCCACAAACTTAAAAAAAAATGAAATCTGAGATTCTCATGTAATTATTTGACTTCAGAAGCTGGGGTTTTAAGGAAATAAAATATTGCTAAGTTTACAATAAGATCACAAGAACTGGCAACATGGAATTAGAGTACCAGAGCTAAACTAATTAAAGGGTGTTGCTTTATTTTTTCCCAGTCCTAATACATATGTCAAAAGAGCCAATTCTGCCCTTTCATTTGCAGTTGTGAAGGGGATTCCGGAATTGTGTGGTTTTGCTGTGCAGGGGTAGGTTACCCCAGGTCTGCAGAGGTCGCCCTCGCATGACATTTGCAATGGTAGTTGAGGAGGCAGAAGATCATCTGCTACATTATGTGCATTTGGTTCTTCTCCGCACTTGCATGGATGGTGGGAACCGTAAACTTACATAAGATCTGAGGCTACTCCGGCCATTAGGATAGCGTACTGCTTATGAAGTATCTCAGCTTCTACACTTGCTTCCCAGTCTGGATATGGATGAGGGAAGAATCCTTCCTACCCCTGCCACCCGTAGCAATCTTTACCATCCAGCTCAGTTTCTTTGGCTGAGTACTGGAGAGAACTTAGTGATTAGAAAAGGGGACTCTGAGCTAGGAGTCGTATATTCTGTTCACACCTGCAAGATTCCTTGACGAAAGCATGTATTTTATTTAAAAAAAAAAAATTCACTACTTTTAGTTGCCCTGCATTAGACCGCCCCCGGCCCAATTTTCAGAAGAGTTGTGTAACTACTGTTGCAACTCAATACTAGCTGTAGGTGTTCAGCACTTCTGAAATTCAGGCCTCACTATCCAGTTGGGCATCCAAAAATAGGGGACACTTGAAAATTTGGTTCTTAACTTCTGTTTCCTGTCTCAGTATCCCCAGTGAGAGAAGTCAGAATGACAGCCACCACCTTTATAAAATGCTTCAAGACCTATTCAGTGTGAAGACAGTCTGTAGCTCATTCGGAAACCTCCTCTTCGTCCAGGTGAGAATAAACTGGCTGTATTGCTTTGGATGGTTGCTGAATAACATAGCTTATAGACAGTAAACTTTGTGTGTGTGCACATGGTTACATTGACAAACACAATGGAAATTGAACCTAAAGCTAATTGCCACTGCTTTTCAGACAGGCCACCTCACCAGAGTCAGCTGGGTGCTGTCTACACCAAGAGATCAGTCTAAGGGCATGTCTGCACTGTTATTACCATGGTGGCTGATGTCCACACTATCCTCCTTCTGGCGGTGGTGTGCATCTTCACGAGGAGTGCTTCCACCAACTGAAGAGGGGTGGTGTGTGGGACTGGGTGCCAGGGCTCTCAGCTCTGCACAGCTCCCAGTTGGGGAATGGGCAGCTGCCTGGGGTTTCTTGCCTCCCACAGGGAGATCCACACCTGGAAGCCAGTTGGCTGCCATGCTTCTGGTGGGGATCATGGGTGGCCACCCAAGCCAGAAGCCCAGCTTAGAGCGGAGACCCAGAAGCAGCCCAGCGGGGGGGCCAGCTTTCTTGTCAAATTCACAGCGCCAGCAGAGCCATGAAATTGACAAGACAGCCCAAAGCCAATATCTGGCTTTTAACTCGACTGACATGAGCCCTGCGCCTCTCGTGGCGGTATAGTAGGTCACTTACATCAGCGGGAGCAAGGTTGTAGTGTAGACACTGACATAGATCAACCTAAGGCAGTTTATGTCAACCTAACTGTAGCATAGTCCAAGCCTAACTAAAGGTGTGAACTTAAACAGGGACAATCCTTCTTATTTCAATTTACATCAGGATTATTTTGGTTTAGCAGAAATCAATTAGGAACAGGTTTAAACTAAACCAAATAAGCCACTCAAACAGAAATAGAAAGTGTCCACACAGGGAGTTGCACCACCTACACTAAACTGTTTAATGAAATAGATGCAAATTTGCATGTAGACAAAGCCTAAGCTTGATAGACATGGATACTTCTGACCACTAGATGTCACTAAAGCAGAGATTTTTCAGATAACTTTTGTTGTAACCATGCTCCTAAACTGAGCTAGTGAATAGTGCAAGGGTATTCATAATCATTCACTTGTGTTCAAGATAGCAGGTTGATGCTACCATCTTAGTGTCCTTTTCTCTAGACTGGGATTCGCACCAAAGTCTGAGTAATGGCTGTTCATGCAGCTACCCACATCCTTATGTGAACTGTCAAATTTTATGCATCAGTCTAGGCTCCCTGTCCAACCAGATATACCTACCTTTTTAAAAAACAACAAAGTTTGTCATCCGGTCAGGAAGCAAAATATGGTATTAATCATATTCTATGATGAGCAAATTCTTAGAGCATGTAGTGCACAAGCACACCTGCCAAACTACATTCAAACCAAGTGTTCACATAGGAGTAAGGAAAACAAAACAAACAAAAAAAACCCCACTGTCCACAATTACATTGCTATCCTAAATACATTTAATTCTAGAGCTAGAGTCCCACAGGCTAGTTTTGTCCCATTTTATTCTTGCAACTGCTTTCAGATTCTTACTTTACAGTTGTAGTAGCTATAGAAATATGGTTTGTTTAGGTCAAGGTGATCTTATAATTTAGCCCATAGAATTAGGTCATTACTAGGGTCCTGATTTTCAGAAGTATTGAGCACCTGCATCTTCCATTGGATTTGTGGGTGCTCTGCCCTTCTGAAAGTTAAACCACTGGTCTGTACTGCTTAGCAAATGGCAGATTTACAGAGGGAGATGCAGGTTTCCTGAAGTGATGGAAAGAGGGACCAAGTAGGGATCCTTGCCAGGAACAACCCCCAAATCCACCCTACTTCCAGAAACCCTCACTGATCTCTGTCCTGTAGCTCCTGAGGTGACCTCATATTACTAGTAACAGCAGGGATTTATGGAGGAGATGTAAGTGAATTCTGCAGGTTACCTAGGAGAAAACTGTCCTGGAACTAGCATAGGGAATAAAATGTTGTGGGGAGATTGGGTGATTTTTGTGGAAAGGGCCTTCTTAGCTTAGGGGAGATTAGAAGAAAAGAGCGAGTATGCATGCTGAGTGGGGAGGAAAAGCTGTGAAATGGTTTACTCTTCACTTCCTTAGTGCAGTGCATTGGACGACTTGTTAACTGTCACAGCTGTAAGGTTTCAAAAGAAAAGTTGTACTTGTGGCACCTTAGAGACTAACAAATTTATTAGAGCATAAGCTTTCGTGGACTACAGCCCACATCCGAAGAAGTGGGCTGTAGTCCACGAAAGCTTAT